GAGCATGGGGTGATGGGCATGTGTCATCTCCTGCAGGTGTCCATCATCCCCCGGGGCAAGGGGCTGGGCTATGCGCAGTACCTGCCGAGGGAGCAGCACCTCTATACCCAGGAGCAGCTCTTCGATCGCATGTGCATGATGCTTGGGGGCAGGGTGGCTGAGCAGCTATGCTTCGGGCAGGTCACTACGGGGGCTCAGGATGACCTGAGGAAGGTCACCCAGAGCGCCTATGCCCAGGTAAAGCGTGGGCATCCCCTGGGGTGGGCTGCAGGCGACTGTCGGGCCAGGCTCACCCCGGGTTCCGTACTTCTAGATTGTGCAGTTTGGGATGAGTGAGAAGCTGGGCCAGGTGTCCTTCGACTTTCCCCAACAAGGCAAGGCCCTGGTGGAGAAGCCATACAGCGAGGCAACTGCCCAGCTCATCGATGAGGAGGTCCGGTGCCTCATCTGCGCCGCCTACAAGCGCACCCTGGACCTGCTGACACAGTGTTGGGAGCATGTGGAGAAGGTTAGTGTGGCCTCTGCCGAGATGGCTGGGTCATGGGTCCCATGTTGGGTCACATTCAGGCCACACCTATCCTTGGGCTTGCTCAGCTCTGGGATGTGAGCACGTCCTCAGAGCTGTCTGACAAGTGGGCCATTGTTTCCAGGTGGGCCAGCGGCTCCTGGAGAAGGAAGTGCTGGAGAAGGCAGACATGGTGGAGCTGTTGGGTCCCCGGCCCTTCGCGGAGAAGTCCACCTACGAGGAGTTTGTGGAGGGCATGGGTGGCCTGGAGGAGGACACGTCCCTACCCGCAGGGCTGGAGGGCTGCAACCGGGGACAGGAGGAGGGAGACGTAGAGCAGCCTGTACAGGGGAGGTCTTTGTAGCCACTGGTGGAGCTCAGGTGACTCAGATTTCCTGGGACCTTTGCAGAGCAGCTGGAGAAGCTCGCCAAAAACAAATTAAAACGTGACAGCTGCTAACTGGTGTTTTAGATGAGGGTGCTCTGAGCCCGCATGCAGGGCATGGGGTGGGCGGAAGGGCTGCCCTGAGTCCCTGGGCCCTGCTGCTAGAGGACAGTTGGGTCCGGGTTAGAGGGAGGGGAGCAGGGCTCTCCCGTGGTGCTGAGGACGGGGTGGTGCCTGTCTGGGAACCCTGTGCGCAGCTTCAGGAGGGGCTTGATGGGGCATCTGGAGACACTGGACCTTCCTGGGGCCTGCCTCTGTGGAGGAGTGTTGATGTGGTCGTAAAGTCACTCAGAGGAGTCTGGGCCCAGCACGGAAACCGTCTCAGTTTGGTAGAATTCAGAACACCAGCCAGTTGTCAGTGGAAAGTCAGGTTTCTTAAGCAGCTGTTTGGATGGGTAGAAACTCATCTGCTGATCTGTCCTTCAGAGGGAAAGCCCACTCCACCCACAGGTGCGTGGCTGAGGGGGGATGGCAGAACTGTGGGGCTCCATACCTAAGGTTCCATGCCCGGGCAACCCCCACCTCTGCCTGCACCTAGGCCCCATGGCAGCCCTGCTCTGAGTGTGAGGGACGTGAGTTGCCTGGCAAAACCTGGAACGCCTGGGGTTCCACTCTGGGGCACCCCTGGCCTCTACCTGCTGCCGGGCCCGAGGCAGCCCTGCTCTGAGTGCGAGGGACGTGAGTTGCCTAGCAAAACCTGGAACGCCTGGGGTTCCACCCCTGGCCTCTACCTGCTGCCGGGCCCGAGGCAGCCCTGCTCTGAGTGCGAGGGACCTGATTTGCTAAGCAAACCTGGCACCTATCCTTGGGGTGGAGGTGCTTTAACCACAGATGTGTCTGAACTTAAGACTGCATCATCAACTTCTGCTAAGTCTTGGAGGGGAAGCTCTGCAGGGCCCTGGCTGGCTCAGGGGTGTTTGTGGAGAGGCTGTGGTCCTGAGCCCTCAGCATGTGGCTGCCTCTGGCCCTGGTGCCTGTTTATGAACCCTTTTCCCGGGGCTGAGTGGCTCCTAATAAAAGGAAGGCCCCGTCTGGGCTTTGAGCTCCAGGCCCTTTGGTGCCTCAGGAGGCACCAAACTTTAACTGAGGGAGGCTTTGCTTTTTCTTAACTGGGGTGTGGGGGACTCGGTGAGGATGTCCGTGTGCTTTCTCCAGGACACAACCTGCCTCCAGGACTCACTGGGGTCAGCAGCAGCAGGGCTGTGTAGTGTCAGCCCCGACCACTGCCGTTTGAGGGGTGGATGCACGTCTGGGTGACCTGGGATGGGAACAGGGGAGATACCCTTTTGCAGATGTCCTGGGTGAGCGGCAGGAGGAGGTGGCCCTGCTGGCTGCGCTGGGCATAGTTTGTTCTCAGCCTGTGTCTCGGCCTAGGCCCGACCGCATTGGGACTTCATAGTACGTTATGCAAATTGCTTGCGACTTTTGTCCCGGAGCCGTAGAAATATAATTTCCAACTGGGGTGAGCATGTTCAACTTTTGCTGTTTGCAAAGGGCACATCATTGAACTCAAAAACTCTCCAGCACTCAGCCTTCATCATGGCCTCCACCAGACCCAGAGTGGCTGAGCCGCTTGGGGTCTGCTTGGGGCTGGGTCTTGGTCCCTCAGATGGAGGCAGGGGTACTCCCTCAACCCCAGCAGGCCCCGCGACATCGTAGCATCTGGCGGGGCCTCCAGGATGCAGGGTGGTCACGGGGTTGTGGAAGGTCACGGCCCTGGCCCCTCCGACACCCCTGGGAGAGCCTGGGCGTCCGTTTGGTCACCTCCCAGGCAGTTGCGTGTGCCTGCGGCCCTTCATGATAATCTGCTTGTGGGAGGCACAAGAACCCTCCAGAACTGTCTTCTTGGCGCCTGCCTTCGCCCTCACCTTGTTAGGGCTGTCACGCGCCTTCCCCCAGCCTTCCCACCTGTGTCCTTCACAAATTAGTCCTGAAGTAAATCTGGAGCCGTCTCACTCCGTGAATCCACACACCCACTTTCCACGGTCTTTTCCCACCTGTCCTGAGTGTGACCCGCAGTTTGCCCTCATCTGCCTGTTGGGGTGGCTCAGCTCCACCTTTGCGGAGAAGCACCATCACCCAAGCGGTGTGATGCCTCTGGGCACTGTAGTCTGTGCTGTGGCACTCTGTGCACCCTTCGGGGACATGAGCCTTCAGCCGCTCTATTTGTCAGCCTGCCCGCCTCCCTCTGCCAGAAGGGAAGGTGGGATGGGGTGGAATGCCTGCTCCTGGCAGCAGCTGTGCACCCTTAGAGAAGGCAGAGCACCGACCGAGGCCGCGTCTGGGGAAGGCGGGGCACCGACCGAGGCGGCGTCTGGGGAAGGCAGAGCACTGACTGAGGCTGTTTCTGGTCCACGGTCATAAGACACCTGGCTGAAAATTTTCACGTGTGGGAGGTCCAGATTTCTCAGAGCCCAGCATGAAAGCACACAGAGCCCCGTGGGCCTGGCAGAAAGCAGGTCACCCCTGGCCGGGCTCATGGCATCTCGCTCCATGAGTAATGACTGGGTAGGAGTTTTGGCCTCATCTGGTGCCTCCTCGTGACCAGTGCTAGTGGCCACTGGGACAGGAGTGTGTCGAGAGTGACTCCCCTGCCTGGGCCCCCTTCATGGTGTATGTGGGGCAGGACTTACCCCCTTAATCCTCCCTTCTGTTGTAAGTACAACACCCGCCCCAGAGGTGACCCAAGTGAGCACAGCACAGCACAGCAGAGCTCTCGGGCTCCAGCAGCTGGGGAACGATCTGGGCCAGGGCAGCTCAGCCCACGCCCCTCAGCAGGCACCTCCTCGTGCACTCTGGTGTTGGGAAGGAAGAGACTGCAGCCAGGCCATCAAACCCGCAGTGATGTTTTAATCCCACTGTTTGTACATGAGCTCTGTGGAACCTCAGCAAGAAGGATGGAAGATTGGGAGGAAGACCCTGGTGGGTGGAGGTGTGGCCAGGGGTGCAAGCATACTTTCATGGGACTGAGAGAGCGAGCTGCTGGGCTCCGTTCCTGGAAACCAGGGCTGGAGACCTGGCTGAGGGAGGAACTGGATGGCAGAGCAATGCTGAGAGGCAGGGAGTGGCTGAGAAGTGGGAGCAGGTGCCGCCTCTAAAGCCCCCTACACAGAAGGAGCTCAGGGTATGCCTGGGCATCTCCAGAAGCTCTGCCAACAAGGCCCAAGAGCCTGTTTTCCTTCCCCAGAAGTGTGCTCATGGGAAATGGGCGGGGGCTGGTTGGCTTGGGGATGGAGAGCAAGCTCACACTTTCATGTCAAACTCATTAAACTCACTCTTTGACTTGCTGTCGAGCAAGAAGCCTTTTCTGTGACCATCAGCATGTGACCATTGGGACGGCGTGAGCTGGGGCCCCCAGACACCCCCAGAGTAGAGGAAGGAGGGCCTGTCAGCCTCCCCTCCTGCTCCCTGGACACAGACCCATGGGGTCCCATGGGCCCCAAACCTGCCCAGCAAGTTTAAGGGCTGTGGGCAGGCCATGTATCCGGGCAGTGGGATGTGAGCATAGACGAGGATGTGGCCTCGTCATGGGTGCAGGACAGGGAGAGGGTGAACCCCACCCTGAGAGCATTCGGGAGGTGTCGCCAAGTTTCTGAGGCAGTCTGGTGATTTTTGGTGTTCTAAGCTAAGGAGGGATGGACGTGGCTTCACGCAGGGGTCAGGAGAAGCAGGTGCAGGTCTCAGAGCTGAGACATGGGGCGGCGACCCTGGTGAGACAGTGGCTCCATGGGGCAGAAGAAGGGGCAAGATGGGAACGATGGGAATTTTGGGGCCGCTCCTCCATGTGCTTTGCTGGACAGCACAGTGTCCCATTAGCCAAACCCACTTCTGGCTTCTGAGCTGGGTAGCAGGGAAAATGTGGAGGTTGGAGCACACCCAGGAATTCCTGGAGTGGCTCTCACAGGCCTAGGTCCCCCTCACTCCAAGGCCGCCGTGGCCCGCTCCACTCCTCACTGCGTGCCTGGCAGTGACTCCATCATGCTGTCTTCCCGATTTGGGGCTCAGGAATGAGCTGGACATAAGGCCACTGGGCTGTGCTTGTGCTGCGGCCCCCGGAGGCATCCAGGGGCCCCATGTGTCCCCCAGGAAAGCCGCTGGTCTCCAAGTGAGGCTAAGACCTGTGCCCAGCAGACAAGGCAGGCCTTGGGGTTGGCAGGGAGCCTCCTCCACAGCGCCTCCAACCCTGATTCACTGTGTCAGGACGTGACGGCTGGAACCTCGTGGGAGGACGCAGTGTGTCTGCTGGGTCAGGACTGCCCAGATCTGCCATCGTGGTGGTGTTCTGACCCCAGCCCTGCAGCAGCTAGAGAGCAGGCAGAGATGGCCTAGTCCTCCTGGGGCCTCTCCACAGTGAGAAACGTGTCCAGGACCGCAGCCTGCCGCTCGGGGTCGCCTAGGGGCTGCTTCTCTCGGTTCTGCTCAGCCCTTGTCCTCGTCCAGGAAGGGGAGCGCAGGCAGCCGGCCCGGGGCAGCGGGTGCAGACCTTGGGGGGGGATGCAAGAAGGGGGCTCAGTGTGGCTGGGAGGCCTGGGCGGGTGTGTGGGAAGGGGGCTCAGTGTGGCTGGGAGGCCTGGGGGGATATGGGAAGGGGGCTCAGTGTGACGGAGTCTTGCTCTGTCACCCAGGCTGGAATGCAGTGGCGCGATCTTGGCTCACTGCAACCTCTTGTCTCCCAGGTTCAAGTGATTCTCCTGCCTCAGCCTCCCGAGTAGCTGGGAGTACAGGCGCATGCCACATGCTTGGCTAATTTTTGTATTTTTTTTAGTAGAGACTGGGTTTCACCACAGTGACCAGGCTTGAACTCCTGACCTTGGGATCTGCCTGACTCGGCTAAAAAGTAACGTTTTAAGCAGCTTCTAGTTGGGCAATAGCAGCATGGTGAAGTGGTGATGGACTTTTGCCAAAACACATGGTCAACCCAGGACTTCCCAAGGGGCCTCATCTCACCACACACACCTCAGCTCCGACGCCGGCCTCACCTGCTGGGGACTCAGTGTTGAGGTTCTCGTCATCTGAGTCAGCGAAGACCTCGGCCAGCTCCTGGTCGGACATGTCGGTCAGTTCAGTGAGGTCCAGGAGGTCAAAGTGGACCTCCAGAGAGGAGACACTGCTCAGAGGCTCTGAGGGCAGATGGGGTACGGTCAGTCCTCAGGCCCTCCCTCAAGACTGATGAGAGGTCTGGGGGTCTAGAGGGCAGAAGGGGTGCGGTCAGCCCTCAGGTCCTCCCACAAGGCTGCTCAGAGGCTCTGAGGGCAGAGCAGATACGGTCAGCCCTCAGGTCCTCCTACGAGCCTGATGAGGTCTGAGGGTCTAGAGGGCAGGGGGGTACAGTCAGAGCCCTGGGGTAGTCTAGGAGAGTGTGCACTGTGTCTTCCCACAAGGCTCGTGGGTGAACCACAGCTTCCTGCAACGCCCAACACCGGGAGGGTGTCATGGGTGCTGCGCACACTCTAGACTAGAAAGCTTTCCCTTGACAGGTGGTGCAGCTGACACCCAGAGCACCACAGCTGCGAGAGCCCATCACCCAGATCCCTAGCGAGTGTTTGGACCCTGCTTCCTCATCTCCTGGGGGAGCTCACAGGGTCCCCATAGAGTGCGCTGGGCAGGGGAGCAGTACTTACGCCTCCTCTCTGTGACTTGCAGAAGCCCTGGGGCTGGTATTGGGATGCCCCCCACCTCCTCCTCCACAGGTGTGTGGCCACTGTCCCCTGTTCCGTGGGCTGGGACACCCAGTGCGGCCTGCGGCACCTCAGCCTCCTTAACGATCTCTGCATCCAAAGACACAGGGCGTCACCTCAAGACCCACAGGGCTCCCACTTCCCCCCAGGACGCGGGACTGGGTGTGAGGACATGGCACATCCGTTCTCCTTTGAAGCCCTGGGCAATGACCAGCAGGTGATGGGATGGCTGGGCTTGTGGCTTCATGCTCAAACCCCAGGCAAGGGCTTGAGGGGGCTTCAGGGAGGCTGGCTTCCCCTTCCCCTTGGGCCCTGGCCTCCCCAGTGAACAAGGAATCTGAGGTCCAGATCACCCTTGGTACCCAAGCACCCAGGAAGGCAGCACCATGCAGGCCGTGCCATGGCAAGTTCCACAAGGCCCGCATGGCTGCACCCCAGGACCGTCCTGGCCTCTGATCTCTGGCTCAGCCCAGGGTCCCCTGAAGCCTTGCCAGTGGATTTCCATGCCCAGCCTCTAGCTCCCTGCTCCTCTCCACTGTGGACTGACTTTTCCTTTTAAAACCCTATGTCGTTGTGTTCGAATTCAAAGTAATGCGTTCTCAGTAAATGAAAGTTAAAGCCAGGAGGAACAGGCAGGGCTGACATTCTGTCACCCTTAGCCATCAGCCACGCCCCACAGTTGGGCAGATATTCCAGGTTTTTCCCATGCATTTCTTTTTTCTTTTTTTGAGACAGCCTCGCTCTTTCGCCAGGCTGGAGTGCAGTGGCGTGATCGCAGCTCACTGCAATCTGCCTCCCGGGTTCAAGCTATTCTGCGTCAGCCTCCTGTGTAGCTGGGATTACGGGGGCGCACCACCACGCCCAGCTAATTTTTTTTGTATTTTTAGTGGAGATGGGGTTTCACCCTGTTAGTCAGGCTGGTCTTGAACTCCTGACCTTGTGATCCACTTGCCTCTGCCTCTCAAAGTGCTGAGTGCTGGGATTACAGGCATGAGCCCCTGCACCTGGCCCAACTGTTCCTTTTTTTTTTTTTGAGACGAAGTCTTGCTCTGTCACCCAGGCTGGGAGTGCAGTGGTGCGGCCTCAGCTCACTGCAGCCTCCGCCTCCTGAGTAGCTGGGATTACAGGTGCCCAGCACCACACTGAACTAATTTTTATATTTTTGGTAGAGATGGGGTTTCGCCATGTTGGTCAGGCTGGTCTTAGTTACAGGCATGAGCCACTGCGCCTGGCCTAACTGTTCCATTTTTATAGTTAACAATTGTTTTGTCAGGTGAGAGCAGGAGGCCCTCGGCTGCAAAGCCTGGGACACTGGGGACTCTTGTGTCTGTCCCTCCAGATCCCCTCAGCCCCGCCCCAAGCCTTCCCAGCCGCTCACCTTGTCATCCACATCGTCCCAGTGGGCACCTCACTTGCCACAGGCAGCCAGAGGGTCCCATTAGCCAGAGTCAGGCCTATCCCTGAGTGCTGGATGCCCTTTGGCCCTAACCCCTGCAGGTCCATCTCTTAGGGGAGAGACAAAGCACCCGATTACCCCTGGGCCCATTGCCCCTGCAGGAACCCCTCTCCAGATGGGCCTCCTTCCCTCAGCTGCTTCCTGGACCCCCTTCCAGGGATGCCAGCACCCCCACCACACTTGTCAGATGGACAAAGGCCCTCCCACTCCTGCCAGTGGCACCCTGAGGACCCCGTGGGGTATTTTTAGCAAGCCCCCAGTGGTGAGCACTGATCATAGCTGGGTGTGCTTGAAGTCAAGGGAGCCAGCTGCTTCCGTGAGGGTCTCCCTGTGGGGCCGCAGCTGGGATTCACAGAGCCAACAGCTAGCTGCCTGTGAAGGGTGGGCCTGCCTTCCTATGGCACTAGCCAGCAGCCTGGATACTGCCAGGTGGCCCTAGTGGGTCTGGAGCATCCGCACCCCCACTCCTCCCCAGCAGAGTCGAGGATGCCTCAGGTGCCTGGCCTCTGAGTGAGGAGCACCTCCACCCCTCCCCAGCAGAGTCGAGGATGGCTCAGGTGCCTGGCGTCTGAGTGAGGAGCACCCCCACCCCTCCCCAGCGGAGTCGAGGATGCCTCAGGTGCCTGGCGTCTGAGTGAGGAGCACCCCCACCCCTC